TCAGACATCTTAAAAAATCAATAAATTTTCATAATAGCCACAAAACCAGATCAAAAACACAAAAAAAAATATATAAAAAATCATTATTTTAACACGGCGCACGAACTTTTTCCTCAACCTAATATATCGAAACAAAATAGTTCTATAAAATATATTCTATTTCTAAAGATTTCTGTTTTTACTCATAGGGTAATGGATCATCGTCATCGCAGCCGTCTGCTACGATGAGTGTTATCGACCGACAATGGGAACTTATCGATCCAACTCCAAAAATTCAAGAATTATTTGTACAATTTAACCAGCAATTTTTCTATGATCAATTGGGAGCAGTTTATGTTGAATGGAGTAAAAGAATGACAAGGTATATACAGTTGAATGTTTGTGATAAATTAACGGATGGCCCAAAGAGAATTATAGTGTTAGTATTTGAATGAAAAGATCCGACGCAAAGATTGACTTATCGGAAACCGGGCGAAAACAGCACGTAATTTCGGTCTTATCTACGCGTGATAACAAAGGAAATTTTTTTTTTTCTTCAAGTATTATCGATTCTACAATACAGACTAATCACTGACTAGAAATCAAAAAAAATTCAATCTGAAATGATCAAGTTTGACTAGACTTGTTTTATCGAACGCTGCAAATTCCTGGTTAAAAGTTATCATTTTTAGAAAATTTTCAAGAAAAACTCGTTACACTTACGCCCTTCGTTCTAACTGTAAACAATTTTTAATCATAGGTGAAAGGTAGAGCTTTACAAGGCTTACACAACAGCTCCTTCAGCTTTCTTTCTCTCACAAACGTTTAGCAACTAGAACTTAAAAGGCGGTTGTTTAACTTATTTTTTCTGAATTTTCGTACTTCATACGATTCCTAATCTCATTTTCCACCTTCGAATTTTGCAATAAAACAGTCATACATATTTTGCAGAGAATTGAACACGCTATACTTTGGTGAAAATATTTGCTCGATTAACTATAAGGAAGAGGCGAAAAATTGAAAATATTAGCACTATAATTCTTTTTGGACCGCCTGTTATAACTTAATCGTCTCAATAAAATGGGCATAAAGACTAAGTCCCAAGTGAGACTATATAGTTGTTCTTTGACACCTACTTGATAAGACTTGAGACTATTTTTGATGCTGTCCATCCTTTTTCAAGTGGATGACTAAAAAACGAATCTCTCGAAATCTTCTCTAATCTTCATCGTGAACGAATTCAGACTCGGCAAGTTTATAAAGTCTTCTCAAGTTACTTATAGAAACAGATTTTAAGAGCTGCTGGACAAGTTTTCAATGAGCGATAAAAAAATTACTTGTCTGATTTTTTGCAGTCGTATAACTTAAAGTGTTTTTACGTAATATTTTTTATAGCTCATTAAAAACTTGTTCAGTAGTTCTTAAAATCTGTTTCTAGAGGTAAGTTGATAAAGCTTTATAAACTTGTCGAGTCTGAATTCGTTCATGATGGAGATTAGAGAAGATTTTCGAGAGATCCGTTTTTTAGTCATCCACTTGAAAAAGGATGGATAACATGTTGGTAATTAGCATCAAAAATAGCCTATTATCAAGGACAACCATATAATCTTACTTAGGAATGTTCCCTTGTGAGTATGTTTTTATTCTTATTTGAACATACTATTTTTTAGCTGTGCTGGTATATGTTACTATGAACGTCGTGGTCATCATTGTCGAATCGCGCTCAGCGAACCATTATTAAAACTGAGACCAAGAAAAGATTTAGTTCAAACATTATTGGTACAGAAATGCATTTATTGACAAGCAGTTGTTTATTTAATTGTCTCCTGTTGTTTTAGCATGAGATGATCCATGCATATTTATTTGTCACAAAAAATAATCGAGTAAGTTGTATAATGAATAGACGTATACTATTTTACTCTATTTTCTACTTGAAAATGCGTTTTTAACGAAAAATAATACATATGACCTACAATTTATTTTTTTCTCCAGGATCGTGATGGTCATGGTCCAGAATTTCTTAAACATATGTTACGCATTAATCAAACAACTGGTGCAAATATCACAGTAAATAAATGATATTCTTATCAAATATGTTCTATTTATTTTTCTTTTATTTAGGTTTATCATAATTTTATTGAAGAATTTCATCATTTACGTCAACATTGGTGGCGTTGTAATGGAAAATGTCAACAATGGGCACCTTATTTTGGTTATGTCAAACGGGCAATGAATCGTGCACCATCAAAAAATGATTTCTGGTTTGGTAAGTTCACGTTGTTATGCATTCGACACTTGACAGAATGTGTATTGTTATTTTTTTTCTTTATTTTAGCCACCCATCAAGAACGATGTGGAGGTGAATTTATCAAAGTTAAAGAGCCAGAGCCAAAAGAGAAAAGAAAAAATATGTCAACAATAGGTAATGTTAACATCTTTCCGTTTAATCCGAAAGAACTTATCAGTTTCTCTATTTTGAAAACATTTTGAAAGTTGATTTGGTTATATCTCATGAATACCTGTTTCTATTCTTCCATTCCTGAATCTTTCATCCCGTTTTCACGACATCGATATTTTTAAATAATATCGGATGCTTCAATAGGCGGGTAAATTAAAAGATCTTGTGATGGTATTTTCATTTTTTCATCTAGTACATCACACTGGTGAGAAGTGAACTAAACAAGAAACAGCCACGAAAGATGCGAATTTTTGGTTGTAAAATCTTGTTAAATTTTTTACATCTAGTCTTTATATGTAATATACAGCGCTTCGCAAAACATGGACACCCCTGCAACTCATCAATCATGATAGACTTGAATGTGTACATACAAGAGAGGTTCCATACAATAGGTGATACCGGTTACCGAAATTAAAATATTTTACCGCAGTTGATCACTTTTGAAATTCACGCTTTCTGAGTGTCCACAATGTGACAAAGTGTCTGTTAGAATGGCTGGCATTTCGAAGTGTGTACACCTACTTCACAGTTCTCCTTGCGACAAAGTCAATTTGTAATTGAAATTTGTCATGTTTAAGTTTAGATGAAAAGGTTAACCTCTTTGTTTCTCTTTTATTTCTATTTGTCGGGAATAAACTTTTCTCAATATTGCTTCGTACCGACATTATAAGTCAGCAATATTAACTGGTTTTTTAGTTGAAAACACTGTAGATAAGTTTACTTCATTCATATACAAACATACACATTCAAGTAAATAGTCTAGTTTCTTGCGATTGATGTTTATTATCGTTATTGTTTACTTCTACAAGTGCTGTTTTCTTCATTTTAATTAACATTTTTTTTTCTTTTTATTTAGATTCATCGTCAGCATCAAAGAAATTAAAACCTTTATTAGCTGGTCAACGTCGATTAGATAGTTTTATAATTAAACCAAAAGTCCAATGTCCTGTATGTGATCAATCGATTGATGAACGAGAAAGTTCGGCCCATGTGAACCAATGTTTAAATGAGACAACACTCTCTAAAGGTGCAACATCATCACAAACTTCTATCACACAATCACAGCCAACAATTGTCATTGATAAAAATTCGATTCAATGTGAATATTGTTCATCAACAATGATTAAACAAAATTTACAATTGCATTTACTAAGATGCAAAAACAGACCTAGATAAAACTGATGTTATTGTTCTCTAGAAATGTTAAGATTGTTATTTTTTATAGATGATTTTTTCTTCTATGCCATGTCTGTATCTAATCTAGTCATTTATTGTCAAGTAGCGAAAAAATAAACGTTAATCTTTTATGTACATTTTTTTGACTATAATCTATTTTTTTAAAAGATATTCGACAGATGTCGGTTTTCATGAAATGAAAACATTGACTGCTTCAATGACATTCAAATGTGTATGTATCAATCTACTATTTGGAGACTCAAGTTAGTATCCGAATTGATCTAAAAGAGTGGTCAGAAACAGAATCGGAAAGAATAACACGACGTTGAACAATAGAGTTAGAAAAAAAATGAGTTTCTGTGAGTCTGGTATTGATGTTCCTACACGTGATATGGCTGCTTATGAATGAGAAGTTCCTTGAATTGTTGATACTTATACTTCTATGACGAGAAACAACCAAACTTTTCGTGTTTATTTTACTCTAAGTGGTGATTTTCTACTTTTAAAGTAGACTGGCAAAGGATACATGTCTATCAGTGTGCTACAGAAAAATCAATGGGTAGTAATGATAATTATCGGCGTACATGAGCTATGGGATGTGGTTTGTATCATCGGTTGATAATTCGTGAATAAAGTGTCTTATATGTAAGAACAAGCTAGCCGTGGGCAAAATTGCGAATTTTCCCGCGTAAACATTCATAAAAGAACAATATTTATGCATCACTGTAAAAATCCGTTGTTTCGCTATGGATTTTTTTCGGGTAATTTTTATGGACGTCTAGACATAAAATATCACAAAAAAAACCAGAAGAAAAACATTGTTAACTGAGAAAATTGAATCGACAAATTGGTATGCAAAACTAGATTGCAGTTACGGCGGAATTACGCGCGAAGTATCTTAAAATTACGCATAAAACCAGTCTCTTTTTTTCGATCCAAAAGAATTAGAAGATCATCAACTCGGTAATAGAGCGATAAAGGTCTCCTCTAGTGCTATTTTCAAATTTTTTTGTCCCATTTTTAAAATTTCAATAAAAACTTCGGTTTTTGATACGAAAAGTTGATTCTGGCATAATTCAATAGAGAACATAAATGGAAGATTTAATTTAATCTTATTTATTTAAGTGAAGACAATCGATTTCTCGTTATAATCGATACTATGAAACAAAAAGAAAAACTAAATCACTGACTTATGAAAGAACAATAAGAAAAGACAGGAAAAAAACGTGGGGAGGGTAAATGGATAGCTACATATTTGGTGAAAAATCTGAAGATAAAAAACAGAAAAAGAAAAGGTGAATGGAGAACGGAGATAAGCAGAACAGGTAGTTTAGTAAGAATGAAATTGTTGTTTCTTTTTCCAACTTTTATTATCATTCAAATATTCCCCTTTTTGTTCAAGTTGGCGGTGATAGCATCGTAATGACGTCAAGCCGCATCAGATCCTTAACATAGAAGTTAGATCCAACATTCAAAGTTCAATAAAGCTTACTCCTCTCTACATGATAGTTCGAACATTCCAATAGAAAATGTTTAGTCGTTCCCACTTCAATCACATTCACACGAGAGCCCAACAACAATAACAGAACCTTCGTAGCATCGAGAGCCTAAAGTGAAATTCTGGTCTACTCTTAAGAGGGTCTCCCTATTCAGAAAGCTATTTTTCAAAGATTACATTAAAGAATAAAAAGCTCAACCGATTCATTTCTATATTCATGTAAAATGTGATTTATTTTGTATAAGCTTACCTTTCAGACGGTGTTTAGATGAAAAGCAATAACGATATGGAACAAAGCTGAAGTCTGGGCTTCTGTAACCAGGTTTTGGGGAAAAGTGCAAAAGTTTGTATTAGTTTAACCTAGGTTAGGTTAGGTTTAGATTACGAGTTTCGTAGGTTAGGTTAGGTTTAGGTTGTGAAAATTTTTATAGGTTAGGTTATAGGTTGTTAAAAAGTCGTAACCTGCAGGACTCTAATTCACACAAATCTTAACTTCGTTAAGGTTCTGTTATACAGTTTGCTATTAAACAGGAGAAAATCAACAGTGAATTGCACATACAACTTTTCAATAGTTTGTAAATTTTTTTCGGAAAATTTTCATCGTTCCCGAATGAAATCTGATAATTTTTCCACTCCTGATGGACAGTGCCGTATCCAAAGGGAGGGTATAAGGGGGTGTACGCCCCTCTTGCTTGACGAAAAAAAATTTTCTCTTTAACAATCTCTTTTCTCCTAAGACTTTCGTCTGAACTCTTACCCAGATTTGGTTACCAATCTAATCAAAACTTAACAACAACATGCTTTTTTCCACTTTATCTCCCAAAATAGTTGAGAGCTTTTCTTCAATGAGAAAAAAGCTCAAATTGATATCAACATTATCATTTAGCTATTGTGTTGAAATTATGATGATAGATGATGTTGTGTTCTATGGTTTTCTCTCAAATAAATTTACACCCTTCCTGCTTTTTTCTCTCACCACGCAACTGCCGATGGAATTTCAGAGCTAAAAATATTTTAGAAAAATTGATCGCTTGGGAATTAAGTAACACAAAGGAAGAAAAGTTTACGAGAAAAGTGAAAAATTGATGCTCTTTTTATAACTTTCTCGAATCAATAACATTCGATTGAGTTAAAGGGCAAAATGAAGCATAAAAGTTTTAGGACTTTTGCGACCATTTTTTTTTAACGATTTTAGATATTTCATAAACAAAAATAGATAAAACCACAACTTTTCTCGAATTATAGCTTCTTCGACCGTTGATCATTCGGATTTTGAAGTCAAGAAGGACTTGGATAGAAAATTGTATTTGATCCTTGTGTATACGTTTGACACACGGTTAAGTATGCGTGGTGACGGAATACTTCAATCGTGTCATAGTTTGCGTGCGAGACCAAAATAACATATCATGTGCTACTATTATTAGTTTAAAAGAAATTAGAGCTTGAAAATATATCTACACTTTGTAAAATGTGAAATCTAAACAACTGTTCGAAAACAATTTGTTCTACTTGAATTTCTTAAGAGCCCGCCTCAGAAAAAAAATTTTTTGTCTTACATCCGAGTTTAATGGCGCTTTCAGCAAATATTTGCCATATCAAAGTGTTATTATGAAATTTTTTTCCTCGCTATCTCTTACCGTTCCGGGGTTTTCCAGAATCCACGGTCACAAAACCATCCACCACTGTGGGATACTTATTTTAAATATACTTCAAGCAAGAGATCTCGGGTCGATTTTATTTTAAACTAGACACCTAATTGCGTGGGCCGATGCGATCAGATTTTTGATCTAGGTCTTTGTTCCTTTTCTAGAGATCCAAGATCCTTGGTTTTCTAGTAAACTAAGCCATAATTCAAAAATCGGCTCCCATCAGGCCACGCAGTTAGATGTCTAGTTTAAAATAAAACCAACCCGAAATCTCTAGCTTGAAGTATATTTAAAAAAGTGTCCCACACTGGGCATGTTCGAACAAAAAACGTGTTTTGAGAAAAAACACGTGTGCATTGGTTGGTCTATTTTAGGACATATACGAAAATGCTTGTAACTTTTGAACGCAAGATCACATCGAGTTGTGCAACGTCTTATTTTGATCAGAAAAGTCTGCTCTACAAATCTACGTGTTTAAAAAAAAATTAACTTGTGTAAGTCTCCAGAAAAAAATTATTATTTGAAGGCCCTGATAAACAAGGCTTCTAGAAAACTTCCTCGAAAACCACGAAAAACCAGTTCTAGGCCCGAGAGCAATACAGATTCTGAAAGTAGGTACTTCAGGCTATCTTTCTATGTGCTTGTCTCCAAACTGATGTTTTTGGTACAAAATCATCATTTCTGAGAGGGAGTCCCTTAATTATCCTGTAAAATTGAACTTATTACGTTAATAATTTTTTGTTCGTTACATTTTGAAAAGATAACGAATTCATTTGCAATACTTGAAGAAGAAGAAAAAAATATAATAAAGAATGTTTAATAATAAGAGTTTTGTTTGTTTTTCTCTTTAATGTTCGAATAGACACTTGCCTAAACTTGTGCATATTTTTTCATTTTCATGTTGAATGATCAGCTACTAGTTATCGTTGGTTACTCGTTCAAAATGACATATTAATCTAAAATATAATTTTCATTATATATAGAAATTGATACAGTTGTAATTAAACATCATTTTTCTAATATGTTCTTATACAGAAATATATTTTCTGATTATACGAAGACAAATTAGTATTTTTATCAGCATTGAATGATGTGCTGATTTCCAACTGTGTGAATAATAAACAATTTTCTATAATTAAATCAGTTAAATGAAACTAATTTCAATCTCAATCAACGACATGTCTTTGGAAATGTTCTTTTTCAAAATGATATTTTTGTAACAAAATGTTTGATAATCAACCATATTGCTGTTGATTTTCTTTTCACTTTTCTTATTATATTAGAATGGTTTAGTTAGAGAAATGACTTTATAATGAGTTAACTATACACGTGGTTTACATCATCATGATGATGATATAAAAATTGAAACTCGGAATTTCTGTCAACAATAACAAATATTTCCATGAAAAAAAGTAGTTAATGATGATAATGTGCAATCAATTACAAAAATATCATTTATCATCATTTAGTTTGTTCACATAAGATTAATAAAACGAGAACTATTGAAAAATTAGAATAATAAATCTCTGGTATGGAAAAGTAAAAAACATGAGAGAAAAATAAAGTCGATTTTTACTTTAAAAAGATAGATTTTTTATCAAATTGAAATTTATTTTATATAAGAAAAACTACCACTTTCTTTCCAAAATTCTTTCTCACCTGAGTCACTCAATGAATCTCGTCCAGTGAACGAGTCACTTGACTAAAAAGTTAACTCACGTCGAAACAACGAATCTCAGGCGGAAGCGGCTGCACGTATCTAGAAAAGAAAGAAATTAGTTTAAGGGAAAGAGGTGTGTCTGTTTAAATTTTCACGTTTTATATACCTACAGGCGCAAAGCAAAACGATGAATATGTTGTATATTCTCCCTAAGAAATCCCTAGAGAGCACCAGTGAATGAATCACCAGGGACTTCGTTATTTCTTCCCATCCCCTGAAAATCAGAGATTTTACAGGGAATCCCTGAGGGGATTTCATGTTTTTTCGGGAATTACCGGGGACTTCATCAGAAAAAGTGGACTAGGGTATCAAAAAATATCTTCTGTGTGATTATTAATTGAAATAGAAACTAGTCGCGAATGATTTTATTGTATTTGGATCTGGAGTTCATAATCATGATCAACGCAGCAACATAAATTGTTTAAAACCATCTGTACTTAATGTTATTTGAAAAGTATTCCCTAATGGCATGACGGTTTGAGCAAGCTTGGCGGAGTGACGCTTTTTCCACCTGATTAGAACTTTTGACTCTCTGAAAGTAAAATAGATAATGATTTGATTCTTGCGACATTTTTTGCGTTTCTGCCTTCCGAATCTACGATAAAAAAAGCCAACTTGTGAACGCTTCTCGTTCACTTTTTGCACAGAACTAACATTAAACTTGTTTCAAACTAATAAGCTCTTCTTCTATTTATCTTTGTATAGAAGAAGAGAGCCGCATTTTGTACAGAAATGTTTACACTTTCAGCCAATATATTTTAAAGTATATCACAGGCCTCCGTTATCAATTAATTTAGCAAATATAATGATCGGGATCATATTGCCGAACCAATCTGGTCCCGGTCATTATATTTGCTAAATTAATTGATAACGGAGGCCTGTGATATACTTTAAAATATATTGGCTGAAAGAGCAAACATTTCTGTACAAAATGTGTGGTTAAATAATAGTTTAGCACTAAAGATAATGGAATAGAACGCAAATCTTTTACCGGGATCAGAAAAAGTTTGGTTCCGGTGTTCATCTCTAATTAGAAGACCTATCTGTTGCTAAAATAATATCACACAGAATTATTCCGCTATCGAGAAAACCGTAAAGTAATTTCGTCAAATCTTCCTAAAATTATTTACAAAAACTTTTTTGTGAAAAATTTGTGTTATTATTAGAACAATGTTCCGGACGTGACACATTCAAAAAAGTAATGTAATTTGTAGAGAATTCAACTCTCTACCCAATGGACTTCCTTTTACTCTAAAATTTCTAGAGTCACAATTTTTATTATTTTTCAATAGTCAAATTTTGTTTGAACTAATTTTCTAGTAGTCAGAGTCAAAAGAGTGAGACAATTTTACGATTGGTCAGTACTCGTCAAAATGGCAGTAGTCATATTACTATATTTCACAAAAATTCGTAACACTTTAACGGATAATGATGTAATATATTGTTTTTTCCAAAGTGACATGTTCATTAGTCTTACAAACACATTAATAGATGTATGTATTTGTCTCATTCTATATATGTATTCTCATCATGTTCTCTTTTGATTATTGACGAGTTAGATTAGGATGATTCATTTTAAATTTCATAATTTTGTTGTTTTTCTCATCAAGTGCTTTAAAAAACAAAAACACTCTGTTTTACTTGAGCCATATGAGAGCACTTAAAAACTAGTGGTTATTCGTTCTCTTTCAGGCGTCTGATCGACTTATATATATATATATATATACTTTGCCTAATGATTATTTAAACAGAAAAAAAAAACGAAAAGTGAATAGAAACAATAATTGAGCTAAAGATAAAACAAAAAAGAAAACTTTATATTATGTTTTATATCGATATGTGACAATAAGAAAAGTCTCTACAAAATGTTATCCATAAAATATCTCCAGGATACAATTATTAACTAATGAAAAAAAGAGAAAGTAAAAAAACAAGACGATTGTTTTTGTTTATATAAATGAATGCAATTACCTGATGACAAAGAAAGTTAGTTGATTCTTCGTAGTAATTTCATGATTTGTGTACTTTTCTCTCTTTTCGGTTGTATGATTAGTTCCAATTAAAATATGGTTGATTCTAATAGTTATTCTTTAACGTGCTGAGAAGTAATCATCTATAAGTTTTTTTATTCTCTCCTTCTCTCTCTTTTTCAATGATTTCCTTCCTTATTTGATGCCTGTCGTTCAAGTCACTTGTCAGAATAAATCAATAGACAATGTCATAATTATCAACCATTTGTTTTAACTATATTTCATGTGAAAATTTGAACATCATCAAAAAAATATTTTTAATGCTGTCGTTTTGAGAGAGAGAGAGAGAGAGAGAGAGTGAATGAGAAGGCAGGTGGAAGGCGTTGCTCGTTAAGTTGTTGCATCCGCGAAACGCTTTTTCAAGACGGAAACAACAACTAGAAAATAATAAATATTTTTCGTATGAGATACATACACAAATGATAATAATGATGATAGACTCAATTTCATGCTATAGAGGAAACAGCTGCACAAAAAATACATCGATGTTCATTGATTGAAGACCAATATAGGATAATTGCAGTTTAATATGTAAAACTAAATTTTCATTTCAAAATTAAAATCTTGGATATAAATTGGCTCGACAACTATGCAAAAAAAAATGTCAAAAAAATGATATGTATACTGAATGTATTGGAATTTCGATTCGAAAAATGGTAGAGATTTATGAATCTAATTAGCTAATTGAATGCCATCGATTAATTCAACTACATATGGGCAACTCCAGCATCATGGACGTGACATTCGTACACCTTTGTACCGCTATAGATCTTTAACTAGAACAGCTCTAAAGTTCCTATTATCATCACATATTAGTAACTAGTTACTGAATATACGGTGAAAAACTGAAAGTTATAAGTACTTGTTAAGGTTACTTTTAGGACTAGTAATGACTGGAACAGCTTGTGTTTTTTTGGCACGTCTGTGACAGTGTAGTTTTTTATATGAAAAATAGCCTTAACAAGCATTTATAACTTTCAAAATTTTCACAGTATGTTCAGTAACTAGTTACCAATATATGATGGCAATAGGGACTGTAGAGCTGTTTTAGTACTATAGTGCCGCAAAGGTGTGCGAATGTTACGTCTGTGACGATACCCATGGGGAAATTTTGTCAACATTCCACTTTGTTAGGTTCGTGCGGTTGCAACATCACATGTGAACCAGTGGCAGATCCAGCCCACGAGCGGCTGCTCATACTTTTAACCATAAAACTATTTTTTTCCAGCAGAAGTCTCTTAGAATAATTTGTTTCTATGGCAACCGCACGTATCTCGCACTTTTATCGTATACCGCATGTACCAAAGACTATAAGAGTTTCTAACTTTCTATAAGTTCACAAACACGAATTTCTTTTTACATGTGTTCACATACCATTTTACGATATTCACATACGAGCACAGTTCATTTCACGATATTCAGCAGTATACACGACGCTTTTTATACTAAAATTTTTCCATGTCTGAAGTTATCCATATGTAAAAAGTGTCTCCTTATAATTCTTCGCATATAATTCGATATCAAACTTTTCTCTTCTTCTGATAAGTAGTGTTCACTTCGTTTTTCTCTTATTTCTCCTATTATTTCAGATTAGATAGGTTTTTCAGATTGACTGACACAGTGCACACAGGTGTCATGTTTAAAGACGATGTAAATTAGACGTATACGTATAGTTTGTTTTTATATACTTATAGTAAACATTATCATCAGTTAATTTAATCGATAAAAATGTCAAAGTAATTTAGAGAGAAAATCTACATATACATATTGAAATACAAAACAAAATATACAAATGTCTATTTTCATTTGTTAAAATATTTAATTCAATAGTACGATGAAAAGTGAGAGTTTCAAAATCATTAAGCCAACATTGAACAAACAATTTGAATATAACATGAGAAAGTTAATCATGTCATCGTTAGAATGTATTTTTACTATGCTAAACGTAATAATCTGATATTTTTTCTTTGTTAAAAAAAGAAAACATTCGAAATTTAAAAAAAATCATGTTTATTAACTGTGAAATGTTATTTCTGAAACTTTTAAAGTGAAAATAATCAATTGATAATTTAGACTAATATTTTTTATATCAAATTTTTTTGTTGTTGTATGTGAAATTTATTCTTCACATTCACCAATATATTTCTATTTAATATTTTGTTTTTCAATATATGAATTGTCCACAAATATATAAAGACGAGTGGCAAAAAAAAGCAAAAAAACAAAAACCCAAAAGAAATGTGGTATATTTTATATTCACAAAAGAAAGAAAAAGCCACACACACACACACACACACGTACATCAAAAACAAGAAAAAACAAAAGAGCATACACATAAAGAAATGCTTTTCACTGTTAAAAACCGGCCAGATCAGAATTTATTAGATATTTGCGAGAGTGAGTGTAGTTTGTGTATTATTTATTTTTGTTTTATGAGTAAAAATACAAGAATGAAAGTATTGGAATGATTCAAAAACGATCGTATAAATCAATCAATACTGATCTTTGTATCTGACAGAAAAAAAATATGAAGAAGAAAATGAAGAAATATGTGCATTAGATTCACAATTTTTCTTTTTTCAATGGTTTAAATGCGCCGGTTTGTTGATGTTGAGAAGATGGTGATGGTAGTACATGTGCAATAGTGGATAATGAAGATTGTGGAGAACAGTCTGTTTTATTGTCATCAGTTGTAGATGTAGGAGATCCGTCTAAAATAGAAAAAACAAACACATTATGGTCACTAGGGAATAATTATTCTAATATATCTTCAAACTGTTGTTTATTTTTTTCTAACGAGACACTACAATAATTCACGTATTTCACTAACATATTCTAATTAGTCTATTATTAACATTTAAATTTTTCATTAGGATTTTTCTTTTTATATCATTCTATATGTTAGTAAAAGCTCATTTTTCATTGTTAAAATTGATATATACCTGTTTTTCTCTCATTACATTTTTGTATGTATCTGTTATTCAAGTGAAAATGTTTTTCGATATTTTTATTTAGGCGGTAAATCTTTTATGTCGTCTTATCACGTAAAGTCTATATCAAATTGTGTTTTTTGTTTTAGATGAATAAAATAAGTTTAACTCTATAATCCTGTCTTTTCTCTTTTCAAAAAAAAAAAAAAAATAATACATAAGTCAATAACTAACGTTCAATATACAAAAGCTTATTTAAATATATAAGAAACAAATAAATCAATAGAACACACAGACGAGATTGTTTAATGAAAACAATCACATGTCTAATCGAATTAATATAATAAGAGGTAACAATAAAAAAAGAAAAAGTAAAAAAAAGAAAAAACAATACAATTTGAAAATCTCTACACGAATTAAGATGACTAAAAGGAGATTTAAAAGTTGTTTTTCTTTCTCGTTAAAATGGATAATCGTATTTTTACTATTTCAATAAAAGTGATCAAATAAAGTGTACGATATTCAAGGTCCTATCTATGAGGAAAAGTCAATTTCAAGATGTGTTTCACAATAATAGAGAGGAATTATTTTTTCGAGTTTGTATCAAAATCTTAACACATTTTTTGTTTCTTTCTCGATCATTATGTCTTGTTTAGCATTAATTCATGATTTTTAATTGATATCAAGTTCTGTTCTCATATAGATTTTATTCAAGACGTCAGTTATTCTACCGTTTTGTAAACAAAATTTTACGACGTATTGATCACTGTCTCAATTGATTTTTGATATTTTAGATGGGATTGAATTGTGTAGTATGAAAAATAATCAAAAAACTGTCTTCCTACTGTGTCTCTCTCTCTCTGTCTCTCTTCCTCATTAATTCAATATAGATTTCCGGACTATTTCTATTCACATATATCTTATAGTATAGATTTACCGGATCACGTATATACATTCTACTGTAACGTATTCAATGATGCACAAATCATTTTATTTCATGCTAATTGCCTTTTTTCTTCTTCTACTATAGTCAATGAAAGAAAACAAACAGCTATAACTAATATAAATAAGTAGTTTGTGTCTGTTACTCTATCAGGTATATAGATATAGATATTCATAAATAATTTACATATTTCATTACTGAATAAGAAAAGAAAAAAAAAATTTTCTTTTTTTGTTTTGTTTAAGAAACCAAACCAATCATGATTAGTAAAATATTCTTTTGGGACGCTTATCATGATATAGAAGAGAACGTTTAATGTCTATATATCAGTAGTATATCATATAAAATAAACTATTCACTTACTCTGTGAACAAATAAAAAGATGTTGCATGATGAAAGAGAGAGAGAACCAATCAAAAATGCAAAATGCAACAAAATTTTAAATTTTTACTCCTTATTCTAAAATAAACGTTTTAATTACCTGAATAAGATGACGAAACAGATGATGATGAAGTTGATGAGGATGGTTTATACAATTTTGTTGTACCATCTTTCATTATGGATGGTAATAATAGTTGATTATGAATTAGAGTTGGTCTCGCTATTGTTGTTGGTGTTTGACGTAAATCTTGATACCATAATGGATGATGAGAATGCGATGATTGTCGAGAATATTGAGCTGCTAGCGCATATCTTGACGCTTGATCGGCTTGAACAGCCCAATGTGCAAAGGCAGCTGCTGTCGCTGACGATGAACGTATTTGAGATACTGTCGTTTTTGAACATTTCGAATCATTAGCCATATCAGCTAATGACCATAGTTTTGGTTTTGTCGTACCGGTTTCAGCATTTAGTTCGTTTACTTTATGATGTTTAGTTGGAGATGTTAGAGTTGTTGTTGTTGTATTATTATTGTCATCTCTATTTATATCTTTTGGTGTTGAACGATGATGATGATGATGATGATGATGCAACAATAATTGTTGTTGCTGTTTATGATGTTTTAATAACAGAAGTTCTTGATTTACCAAATCTTCTGTTTTTTCATGTTCAATATCATCTAATGTTGTATTTGCACTTATATCGGACAGATCTCCTATATAATAGACAAAAAAATATAAAAGAAATAAAGACGATAATGATGATAATCCTGATCAATTAAAATAGACACGTGCAATACGAATAATTTTTCTTTCTAAGCATTTCCGTTTTAATAAATAAAGAACTTAATCAAACAAGAGAAAAAAAAAAGACAACTGAATAGAATTATATATGGCCAATCTCACCTGAATTTTTCTTAACAAGAGAGAAATTTTAAGTGACTTCTAATGAGAACATTAAACATACGTCGAATATTGATTATACTATCCTTAAGTATTCAAGAAAAATACTTTGATTTCACCATTCAACTCCAGATTTTCAATTACACTAGAGATAAGTCGTATTTTGAGTTCTGTCGGAAAAATTAGTTTTTATTTACCTGAATCGTGAGCTTTACTATGTCCATTTTCATTCATCGTTGTTCTTGGTGATATAACTTCCGAATCATCACCATCATCACTCGATTGATCTTCATCATCGTTTGTTCTAAAATGAAACAAATACCGGTCTAATTCAAGAGTCTTGTCATTGATATTTTTAATCTTTTAATCGGTTTCACATTTTGATATTTAAATGAATAATGAACGCATGTAACGATAAAAGAAAAATCACTAAATATTAATACTCAAAACTCGTCTTCTTTTCTTTTAAACAATATCGGCAGAAACGTACATTCATATTGGTACCATTATTTTAGATTTTAAGAGCAAACTAATAACTAACGTTAGAATAAAGTAGTTGTTACCTATTTCTTGGTGACCATGTCATTTTATTTTCTTTTTTTAATCTTCTTCTTGCATTTGCAAACCATGTTGAAACTTGAGTTAATGTCATTTTTGTTACAATGGCTAACATAATTTTTTCACCTTTTGTTGGATAAGGATTTTTTCGATGTTCATATAACCAAGCTTTTAGAGTAGCCGTTGTTTCTCTTGTAGCATTTTTACGTCTGCCAGCTAAATCCATTGATGAATATCTAAAAACAGAGAATGATATCATGTTCGCTTCGGTCTGTCAAAAAAAAAAGAAGAAAAACGCAACAAAATGTAAATACAATGTTTTGTGTGTATTTGTGTCTGCTATGCATCTAATTTAAAAACAGATAATTTTACATTTTTTTTCTTTTTTGCCTTTAAATACGATCTTCTTATCTCAAATTTTACTGCTATTATGTTTATTATGCATGCATCGTTTATGATACAACGATATATTAGAAAGTCTAGTATGTATTGAACATTATTTAACGACGGATATGCTAAAATGATATGACAGATACATGTGTCGAATGAATAGAAGGAAAAAAAAATGAGATTTAATTAATATTTCAAAGAAATAAATAATTTTAGTAGTTTAAAATGTTTGAAAAAGTCTGACTACAATATCAGCATTTTCTACTAGTTTTAGCAGACTAAAGTAAGGCACAGTCTTCTTTTATGATTAAGTGTACTTGAAAAGAAGAAGGAAAAAAAAAACGGAGAAATTGCCATTAATACATATAAACTCAACTAATATAATAAGAGTCATTTTAACGAGTTTGTTTACTAATTGACTAACGATGATGGACAAAAGATAAAGAAATTAATTTAAATTTTTAAATTAAATTTTTTCTACCTTCTAAATAAAGGAGTCTGTCTCAAATCGTTGATACTCTCTCTACTAAGTAATTATTGATAAAAACTTACAAAAAGAATACTTAAATGACTATCTTGATAATTAAATGATTTTAAAGGATTATAATTAATTAGACTACCTTAAACTTTAAAACTCAACTAGGACTCAATTGAACATGACTTGTTTTCATATCTTGAGAAAATAGTCATTGCAATAAGACTTTATTAGCATATCTAAAAGTTTATTTTACATTATTAAAGTAACTTTACGTGCAACAAAGATGAATCTTCTTCACACAACTTAACAAATATAATAGATAAAGAAGAATTCAATTTATTCTCTTAGATTCGGATAATATGGATACTTGAATCATTAGAAACTCTTAGAACTTAAGTGTGAACAACTATTTTTAAGAATATGAACTGTTTGTGTTTATTACACGATTGTATTTGATGAAGTCCTGTCGTTACAGTCTATCGCTTAAATTTCAACGAAAAATGGCTCCGCTAAGATTCAAATAATATGCGGATAGATTCTATTCATTATTAAAAGATCTTTAGAGTCATTAGTTAAATACTATAGATTGGAATTAGTTGTTGAATTACACTCAAACGGGATCTTTTCATATTCTAACATGTCTTATAAAAAGCAAAACGAATCAAATTTGTGTTGGTACTATAACTAGAAATTAGTGTAGAACTGAAAGAAGGCCAGAATATTTTAATAATAGTCATATTTTTAGAATTACTAAAGCGCATTACGATGTAAATACATAAAAAAAATTTTTTTTAGTTAAAATTTTTTGGATCTAATTCTAAAAGAAAAATGCTCCGTTGAATTGTATACCACAGAAATGATGGCAAAATTAAAAGAATTTTCGTCTTGAACTAAGTCTTATTCTTGATATTCTTCTAGATTAAGATTAAGTAAAACGTATATCAATTACTCTATAGCAATGAGTTTATTTTTAGTCTATTAGACATCTCTATGCAAATAGATTTGCATAACACATGTAATAAAAATCAAATATTAAAAATTTTCTTTTATATGACACAATCATAACGGACACAACTTTCTATATTCTTTTTCTCTTTTTTTTCGATTCATACAAAACGACGACTACTCTCTATAGTCAATGTTTATTTATTTTTATTTTTTTTCCCGTAAAATTGCTTTTCAATATGTTCTAATAAGTGTCATTTCCTGTGCAATCTCTCTCTATATATAGATATAATATACACTTGCATATGTTCCCTTGTGGCTAAAACAAAAACGGAAGTGAATGCGAATAATATAACCTAAACTCGAACTCAAACTGTCAATCAAATATACACACTAATAATAATAACTATGACAATATCAATAATCTTATGTTTTTGATCATTATCATCATCTTTCTTTCTAACTGTATGGTATTTTTTTTTCGATGATGATTGATAAAGAAATATATACTCTCGACGATTTTCTTCTTTTGGATTTTTTTTTGTGCCCATTTCAAGAGTAGTAGATACAACAACTACTACTAGCACTTCTGTTTGATCATCTAGTCATGTTTACGATATGGCTCGAGAGATTATAACATCTGCACAAAAAGAAGAAGATAGTTTACCTAAAAAAAATGAAAGAATAAGAAGATATCTATCACACATCTGTACAGCATAGATAGACAAGTGAGAGAGAGAGAGAAATAACCCAACGGCAGACATATGTTACTTGTTCGTATTGTGTGTTTTTAATCAACCAATCAACAATTTGTGTCGGATGTTTCAATAAAAACCAATAGTGCATGTTCACAAATTCGAAGAAAAGAGAGAGAAATCGATACAATAGATAGAAAGATATGAATAATTTTACATTTTTGTTACTGAATAAGTTTTTAAATGTATAAAAAAATTTTTATCTTCATATGTCACTAGTCTCAAATTCTAACTCTCATAGAACAATTTCTTAAATTTAAACCAATACAATTCAAAAGACCATTCAGCTGTATCGATAGTGAACCACTGAAACGAAATCAATCGATTGATGCTATGTTCGAGACAAATATTTTTAGTTTGAAAAAGGGATATCTTAAAACATTAAAATTTACCAAAAAAATTCCAATTTATCAATCTGATGTACTGAATAGAATTTAGATTAATATTAGAAATAGATCTGGAATCCGATCAGATCATGTTGATTATCATATTTCTTTAATTACAAAGACAAAAAAATGAATTCATTTCTAATATTCATTCTTCTTTTTTAGATTTAAGAAAAGCTGCAGTTTGTTCATCAAAGTTATATACTACAGATTAAAATAACAGTACCATTGAACGTTATTAGAATAATAAAGTAACAAAAAAAAAATAATTATTAATACTGTTCCCTTTTTCACATATAATTTAACAATTTTTTTCTTATAATTCTTGAATATTTATATACTTTTTAATTACACACATGGTACTGAACAGTCCACATACACACTCAAATGAAATTATCCTTACTGTATTAAGCATACCATCCATTAGTGAATGGTTGTCATACATTTCTCAATCTTTTATAAAAACAAAGTTAACTTTACTACAATTCAATGATAACAATAACAATCATTTAGACAGATTGTTTTAATCTTTTATTAAAACATTTACAGAACGGATAGAAGAGAAAGAAGTAGAAGTAGAAAAAGAAGACTTATGTTAAAAAGGGTGCACAAGAATTAATTGAAAACTACAACTTACCCTGGTCCATATGGATAACCAGCTAATGCTGCATGATCATAAGAATATGGATTATAATGACCACCACCACCACCATTTATATTTAGCCATGGATCAACACTACTCTCCATTGTGCCCTAAAAAATATTCTCAATTAAAAATAGTATCTAACAATATGCCATATTTGTTGAAATACTTACTTGTAACGATGAATATAATGAATGATCAGTAGCAGCCAATAAATACGATTGTGAGGGATAAACTGTTTCAGGCAAATCTGATAGCCTAAAAGATAAAAGGTATTATTGAAATGTATACAAACACACACACATATAATATAGAAGTATAACTTACATTTTGTAATGATAAACAAACAAAAAAACGAGATCAATGTTTCGTTGTGTTTAGTTTTTCTGTTTTTTAAAATGTCAGTTATGAATAATCTGAAAGACAAAATTAAAGAACATTAATTTTGATAAATATTATATGATAAGAGAGACTGAGCAAGGTTAATAGTGTAAGAAAACGATATTTAAATCCAATAGAAACTATGCATACTCTTAGTAGAATGTCATACTGTCATAAAGTTGATGATAGACAAATTAATACAGACCAAAGATACTTCACTTTGATCTTTACACTCTTTACAACAAGATTTTATATTCTGATACATTTTAGAAACAAATTAAGTAATTTATGATAATTTTAAAAATAAATTTCATCGATATTACCATACACCTGGTAACGAACATACTTTACAAATGAATAATAATGTTTACCAGATTTTAATAAAAAAAGAAAAAAAAACAATTTTTTCTCATAATTTTGAAAATATTATTCATTTAATTGTAATTAATCGTAATAGTTGTGCTAGTTTAGTTTTTAAAAACACTTACCGAATTAAACAATAGAAGTCAATAATCAAAACTTTCTTTCTTTTTTTTTTAAATTTTCTTTTGAACTAACTTTTTAACTACATTTTTATTTGATCGTCATTATCAACTACAAAAAAAATAATAACATTTTTTTGATTTTTACATACATATTTCTCGTCCTAATAATCGTTATGACAATAAAATATAAGAAAAAGAGAATATCTCTTCATGTTCTAACACTATGTGCAAGTGTGTTTTGTGTGATAGCAGAGAGCAAAGAGAAAAATACTTAAAAATAAATTCCTTTTTTCTTGTGTAGGTGCACGATGTAAAATTTCATGTTGTTACAAATAACATTTTGTTAAACGAATCAACAGAGAACACAGAACAGAAAAAAGAAAAAGAAAATAGAAGATATTGTAATAGTTACATTTACTTGTTATAAAGGAAAGAAAAACGATTAGATAATTATGTATGTATGTATGTATGTATATATGTATCTATGTATTGTATACTTTCACACACGCCGATTGGTGTTTCTCATTTGTCAGAAACGAAAGAAGAGTAAAAAAAAAAAAATCCGATTGGATATGTGTCGATGTTTTACATTAATGTTTAAGTGCTTGTTAACAATGTCGACTGGTGATTCGTGGCAAACGACTCACTACTACTATACACTCTTCTCTTCTCTTTCAAATTGTCGTCGTAGTCATAGATTCATCTCATCATCATCATAAATATAACATATGTAATGTGAGAGAGAGAGAGAGAGAGAGGGAGAAAAAAAAAAAGAAGAAGAAAAGTACTGATAGAGAAGAGAAGAAAAAGTTACAATTTGATTTACAAGCGATGTAGAACAAATATTGTTGTTGTTTCTTTTTCTCGTTTTACATATAGAAAAAAATGTTCTGATAGTCTATGGTACATGCATATAGATGATGTACGCAGAAGTTATGATAAAAGCATTAATGAAAAAATAAGTTACTTTTACAATAACAAGAGAGAGAAAGAGAAAGAGAGAACGAAGAGATTGAAGAGGGAAAAAGAACAACATTGCAGATTGGAGAAGAAGAAAATAAAACCTGGCTTCAGTAGAAGAAAAATGAGTGTGTTACTAAATAATTAGAATATTATACAGACGAAGTGAAAGAAAATCATCAACTCATCGAATTATGCTAATATAAATGAGATAAAGGTGGAGCAGTTATAAACTAAAAATAACAATAGTTAGTTACACATGTTTTACACATTGAGAAAAAGAAAATGCAGAAATTTGATGTTGCATATCGACTATTTCTACCAGAGAAGGCGATATCATAGAGGCAGTGGGAACGATATCCCACAGATTTTGGAATGTAAAAAAGAGTAGGGACGGCATGCTGAGCGATTTTGCTATATCTCTGACTCTTTTTTTCTCTATTCATTGTACAAGTGTATATTTAATGAGCTACGGAAAAATGAGAGTCCGTCATTAGTCAGATTCACTTTTGATGCTGATGTGTAGATAAAAGTAAACAGCGGAAAAATATTTCGATCGCGACGTTCAGTTTTTCCAAAATAATTCATTCCCAAAGCTTCTAACCAGGGCCGCCTATCCCCACCTGAATATTTGAGGCATTTTGTACCACCTCAAAGGTTGGATCACTCAGTGTACCGCCTAAAAAATTAATTTCTACAGCAAAAAACCGTACCATCTCACGTTGCGCCTCAAACGTCCCGCAGGATGGATGCCCCTGCTTCTAACTCGTTATTCTAACTCATAATGTTTGCTTCCCGTATTAACTTACGCTGAAATTGCACTAAATATTAATTTTGCAGTAACTAGGCAACGTAGATATTGTTAGAGTCTACAGCTCCCCACTATTTCATCAATTCAAAAATGAAAAAACAAAATCTAATTTTCAATATCCTCTACAAAACAGTTTTACCTCAGTGAATGATAAAAGAGAACAAATATGGTCTGATTTTTGTCTGTTGGTATCAATATTATAATTCATATCCTATTACTTTAAACTCAATAGACAGCGTACCAGATTTATAGCAAAAAAATTGGATGAAATGTCAAAATGATCTAGTTCAGAATATCATCCTATTTCTAAATTCAGTTTTCTCATTTCAAGGCCATTAATATATCCTAATTGATTCTAAGTGTATCTATTACTCGCGATAAGATTTTTTTTTTGTTTTACACCAAGTGATGGGCGTGAAATATCTCCTCAAGCAATATCCGTCTTGTTTTAGAAATACAATTAGTTTGATGATGATCATAGTCAATAAATAAATGCATCATCGCTTTTAAATAGAAGAACAGTTAAAATAATGAAGTGACAACAACGCGTGTGTATGTATGTATATATATATATATATGATATAAAAGAAAAGAGAACAAAAAAATAAAATAAAATAAAATAATGAAAATGAAATAAAAAGTAATTTTTGTTTTTTCACTTTTACAATGATGGTGTAGAATATAACAGTGACACCAAGTGTATCACATTTTGCTGCCGCCTTATCTTCCATTTTCTCTCTCTATCTCTTCTTACAATATCAACACTATGACACGTGAATACAATCTAGATTAATTGCTTTTTCTTTTCTTTTTCTTTTTTTTTTGAATAATAAATAGAAATATTAAGATTAAAATCAAATACTTTGATCCTAAGATACATGTACACAAAAACGTAAGCGTGAAATACTTTTAAATAGAATGAAAGCGCAAAATACATTAACTTTTTGAACTAATAGGGTTGAAAAGGAATTAAAAAAGGAGTAGCTTTTAGTTAATAATCGGCTAGAAGACTCAAGTCTACCTTCCGAGGTGTCATTCTGCATTTTCAATGATATTCTCAATGTCGATTGATTGAGGATAGTGCTGTGGTAAGATCCTTAAAAGGATTTATCTCCATAGCATTTCTATTTAATTTTTGGTTTTTTAAGGAAACATAGTAACACAAGAATCTTTATATTTTGGTAAAAATAGCGAATTAAGAGCTCAAATTTTTTTCATAATATGCTACTTCTGTCTGTCAATATCACAAAAACTTTCAGACTTTTATACAAGACAAAATTAATTACACACTCTGATTTTATTTAGAACGACTACGTAAGAGAAAACAAATATAGATCCATTTACAATAATTTTTATTCACAAGAAACACAAGTCAGAACAAAAAAGAATTAGTACAGGTTTTCCTTAATCGAGAAAAAAATCTTAATAATTCAGAATGTAGACAAGTTGACAGCCTGAAAGTTTTTATGTTATTGACAGACAGAAGTGGCATATTATAAGAAAAATTTGAGCTGTTTTTACCAAGATACAGAAATTTTAGTATTACTGTGTTTTCTTATATAAGCAAAAAAAAAACTAACTATAATTTTTGAACGAAGCATTATGGGGATAAAATCCTTTTGAGGTTTTTACTAATACACTATTCTCAATCACCCAATCCAATATCAGTGAAAACGGAGAATTCCCTCGTAAGAATTGGTTCATCGTATAGTTTTGTGTCAGCGGTTATTATTAAAATTATGATGCGCAAAATCATGATTTTTTACACAGTCTACTAGAGTGAACAAACAAAACATCGTATTAATTTTTACAAGTGAGTGAAATAAATAATCTATCACGTTGTTGTCTAAGACAAGAAAAGAATAAAACTCGAGCGTACACTGCGCCCTGAAGAAAAACGAAATGATCGAGATTATTTCAGAGAACTCTGATTTTTTTACCGTTTTGTAAATCGTATATTTATAACACCAGCTTAAGCTGATATTCTGTGTATTTCCAACAAAAAAAAATGAGTTCAGGAAAAAGTAGAATCTTATTTTTAATAGTTTTCCAAATTAATTGAGAGTTCACAAAATGTTGCTAGTGAATTTTTGTTTCCTATGAGCTACCATTTTGAAACAACATACTTTCCTTTTATTTTACATTTACTTATTATTCGTATCGTAGCCATGTTACTAGAAAACATTTTTATATCTGTATTTTTTTGTTGATGCAATAAGAACATTTATATATTATTTATTTGTACATGAAATTTTTTTTTTTTGTTCTTCTTTTTTTCTTCGTATATTGATTTTCTAATGATTTATCTTCTCTTTTAATTTTTGTTAAATACCTAAAATACATTTGTTAACTGACAAAAAAAACAAAAAAAAAGTAATGTCGTTTTTTTTTTTTAACTTATTGTTCAACGAAACATAAATTATGTTCTTTACACATTTTCGACATATTTCTGCTCGTATTACTTGCAAAGAAAAAAGGGAAATGAAATAGTTTCTTCTGTGTGTCCGGAAACATTTGAAAGCGTGTAAGACATGTACTCCTTAGGAATGTACAGAGAAGAAGAAGAAGAAAAAAATTCCTACATGCTTTTGTCTTCGAAAAATAGAAAAACAAAATTACGGAAACATTTTCAACATTTATGGGAAAAAAAATCTTATTCAATGACAATTGACTTCAACTTATTTTCTTCGTTGTATAAATGTCTGTTGACAGCAAGAAGAAGAAGAAAAAAAGATGTCAAAATCATCGAATTGAGTTAATTTGTGTCAGATCTGAGTATAGACAATGATATTGATGATGATGTAATATACGGCACTTTAATCAATTGTATACATTGAGATAGATATATTTATATAGACTTTCTCTCTCTCTCTCTCTTCGTGTCTTTTAATCTATGTAATAATTATGCAAAGCATTGATCTTTTTCAATGTTATTAAAAATGAAGAACTTATTAAAGTTCGATTATTCTATATAAACAGTGAATAATGCCCTCGTCACAAACGAATGATTTTCTCTTCTAAATGTCAAAAATAACAAGAATATCTCTTATTTGTCGCGCGATACTATAATATTTTGTCTGCTATTCATTTTTTCGTTATATGATAAGTTAAAAATACATATGATTTGTCATGTTTCTTGTGGAGAAAGTTATTGTTATCCTTGAAAAAAGTTGATGGAAAATTTTTAATCTGTAGAAAATCTTTTCATTTTAGTAAACTAAAATTTCATATAGAACAAGTTATAGATGAGTCTTCTCTTTTAAGATTAAAATGAGATTCGAATTTTTAGAAATCATTTTTGGTTTTTAAGATCTTTGTCAGTACTCGTATTCTGAAAATTTATATTCTATTTTGTTTACTTTTTTATATTCTTTTGTGTAATATACATGAGCACACCCCTATCATCTTTAGTCCTTGTCCGCTGAAAAAAAAACCAACAACTCTTTTTTGCTGTTCCTTGCTTATGTTTATAGAATTTGTAGGCATCCATCACTTGGGCTGTTAGAAAAACATTATTTGCAAACATTTTATTGCTTACTGCTCCATTGAAAATGAAATCTTGGGTAAGTTACTCTCAAATAGAAAGAAAGAAAGAAAGAAATTAAACTTCACTATTTTTAGATTAAACAACAAAAAAAACAACTGCTTCTTTGTTTTTAGAAACATTCTACAATAAAACAAAATTCAATAGAAAAGTTATTTTCATTTGTGACAAGAGTCAAACTTATCTCTCGACTATCTTCTACTTCTAATGAGTTATATCAACATATTTATCACTTATCATGTGATACATCATTATGTAAAACATGGGTACGAATGAGAATATTTTTCTGTAAGGTACCCATCCTCAACAGACTATATGCAATAAATAAAAATAATAATGAATCGATTTTTTTTCCCCTCTATTTGTTACTACGAGTCTAACATGTCTCATCAATCATTTAAGATACTCGGGTTCGAAAAAAGAAGTAGAAGAAGAAGAAAAAAATGAGTTTTTATGTGTTTGGATGAAAAGATATTCTACTATATCAAATGTTAGAAGATGAACAATTTTTTTCGTATACATATGAGTGAAAATATTTGTTTAACGAAATAAAATAAAAAAGAAGATGAATAATGAGCGAATCACAAAGGAGGTTTGATTAACAACAAAAAAAAGTAGAGTACTAGTCTATTTTCTAAATAAAAAATAGTACAAAATAATATTTTATATTCTACATTTGAAAATTTAACATAAAATATATCCATAAGTTTTATTGAGAAAAAAAATCTCTTTATAATGAAATAGTTTGATAAAATTTCACAGTTATAGTGGAAAGTTTATACTCCTATATTTCTGATAGTTTTCTTGCACGATATTATTTATGATTCGACTTGCACACGTATACATTAAGAGTAGAAAATATCATTTAGTTTTTTTTTTCTTCTTCTTTCGCAATTTCTCATACACTCGCAAATTATTATGTCTGGTTAATGTGATCAATATATTATTTTTTTTCTTGGCATATCAACAATTCATTTGAGGTAGTGTTTTGAGAAATCGTCCAATTCAATAACACATTTGACTAAATAAGTACGTTTATCTAATTAGACCGATAGATATATATACAAATATATATTAACTATTAACAGATGTAGGAGTATCTATCAGTTTGTACTGTTATTATTTGACACACAAATTCTGACAGTTTCAGTGAACATTTACCACTATATTGTGGATATTAAATTGAAATTTTTGTTGATATTATTCAGATACCTCCGTAATTTTCGATGTTTTAATGACTTAACTATGAACAACATGCTTTTGAAGAAACATTACCACAGAGACTGGTTTTTACAATGTCTAGTGAAAAAACAATAACCACTGTCTTAATTGTTCGAAGGATGTTCATTCTCTAGAAAAAA